TTAAGCGACACTTGTTCTTCTACTTTACTAACCGGGTGAACGCATCATCAATCCCCAGGTCAATCCCCAGTTCTAATCAGTAATAAAGAGATGGTACTTTACCCCCTAGTATTCAATAACTACCATATGTTAAACTAAACTATTGACTCTTGATGACAATATTATTATGTAGTATACATGAAAATGATAATCATGTGTGAGAGTTTCGTTCCTAGGCCTTGCAGCTATTACCACGTTGCTCTCGTAAAAAGGAAAGGAATTGTTTTGCAAACATGRCAGATATTTAATTCCATATCTCTGTCCCCCGCTCTCTCTACATGACCAGAGATAACTGGGTCAGGAGACAGCGACGACAATAAACCAACTAGAGCAAGGAATTCAAGGTATTCCATTGGCCTTCCACACTCTGAATTCTAATGTTTTATATTATTGTCAAATATCATTGACAATGTTCAAAYAATTTCATTTAGCACAGCATAAATGCGTAGAAAGCTTATGCGAGGGTTCAATATATTTATGTCTGGTATTTGATACAAAACAAGACATCTTTAAAACATCGATACGTTATTTAGATTAATACTTTCTTTTGACAAACAATGTCGCTCTGTAAAGCGCGCAGAACTCTTAATCTACAAGGACGAGGTCCAGACAAAGAAATACAAAGAATCTTAGTATTAAGAATTAGCTGCTTGTATGACACTAAACTCACTCCATTTTGTCCATTTGATAGCTATTTGGGTTCTTAAAATAAATGATTTAGACAAAGTGCTACCTATTAATCCTAAATGGCATCCCGCAAATCCCCTCGAAATCAGTGTGTTCAGGTCAATGTTCCTTGGAGTTTCGACACACGGTGGACTAGAGAGTGAACCAAGGAAAGGAAGCGTTTTTATATTTAGATCTCAAGCACCAGCGATTCTGATTATTTGCTTATGTTTTGTAGTATTTCTCAGATCACACCAATGAATCTACTTACCTTTAGTAGCATCCTGCCCATTCGTAATACCGTTGTTGCAAACTAGAATTACTATAAAGACGCAAATCCCTAGGCAAGCCATCACACAACACCTACCGTAACTAGAAAAGTGTCTAAGAATAATAGGCAAAGAGGAGTTACTCGCCAGTCAGTCCTGACTGCATGCCACTATGAACCCGATACTTGGAACGCATCAGTCATTACTTTGTTTTAAAAATTGAACACATGTCAATCATCAAGATTGTTCTGCTGAAAATCAGACAAACAGCACATTGGTCATTCTGTTCCTGGTGCTATAAAAAATGTCACTTCAGTTTCAGCATGTTATGCTAGCGGAAATGYCTTGTACACTAACAAGTTTGGGCGCATATAATTGATGAGGAAAATTTTTGTAACTTCTGTCATAAGAGAGAACAAGTTGGTCAAGTTAGACGAAGCGAATCAAAGCACACGGACACGAGTGCACTCAGCCGACTCCAGGTTTTAAAGAGAAGTCACTCCCGACTTTATAAACGACAGGTTTCAAAAAAATGCCGGTCATTTTTTTKGAATTTTATGAATCTTTACAAACTATCGTGTCCACAGGATATTTTATCCGTGTATAGGAGGAAGGTGGAGGGTGGGTTGAATACGAAACTTGAAGAGCATCCCTAACAGGATTCCACTGATAATAATAGTTATTTATAGTTAGTTATTTTTATAGAAGTTTGGTCTAAGAAGAAGGAATAGAATGATATATGGATAAAGGAAAACTYGCAAGAAAAATATTGTGCCGGGTATCTAGACGCTTCGTATTTTTAGCCACACTACTTCACAAGAATGGATAAGAATAGAGTATCTACTCGACGTTGTGTTACGTTAATCAAAAATTTTGACCTTCCCTCATAAAGAGAGAGTTTAGTTTGACTAATCATTATCCAACCTKTTATATAAACATGGTAGTTTGTCAGAGGAGAAAAGATGCAGCTTACACAACTACAAGCCAACGTCATGTACACTGTGTTCCTAGGATTATTATTTTTCACATTGTAGTAACTGGTAAGAAAGAGCRCTGACACTGACACCGTCACTGAAAAGGGTGACGGAGCGCTTAATCATCAAAATTATCAAAACTAAAAGCAGCCAAAGGGGGAATAGAATATCTTGTGCCTAACACTGAAGGGGTCGCGATCCCATTTCCTTGTCCAAACTATGAGAAATTCCACAACCTATTTTGGATATTGCATTTCACATTCCCACTTGCAGCACTCCCAAAATAATGCCAAAATATACATTCTTAGTTTCTAGCCTTTCAGAACCCCGAATTACTTTTTAAGTTTTCACATACATACCTTGCCATTCTGTAAAATCTACTCCTTCGATCGCTGCAGCCACCCTTACTCCCGTATCCAGAACCTTACCACCTTGAAGAATCTTCAAGGTGTACAGACCCATATCTATTGATCTGACTCGCCGTATTGCTAAAGACCCACTTGGGCTTACGCTGTAGCGATCAGATGACGATAGGTCAATAGGTCTTCCTCTTCTATACCAGACAAACTTTGGGATAGGATAGCACTTGACATTCTGGAGGATTAGCCCTGATTTTCCGGGATGGAGTATTATTGGATGGTCGTATTTGTCGATTGTACCTGAAAGAAATTACACAAGAATCATGAACAGAATGATAGTACTCGATATGGGAATTCATAATTGCTCATAAAGTGAATTGCGTTTTTTTTTTTTTTACGGCATATCTGTCTACTGATCTTGCATATCTACGTTAGTTTTGAGTTGCAACAACACCTCATGGCAACGTCAAATCGCATATCCAAAAGTCAAATATTGTACAAGATGACATGAGGTCATCATCGGAATTAAATAAGGATTTAGTCAAAGATCAGTTAACACTCTAAAATCGGTTTGCGAAGGCCGAACTTCATCATGACCAAGATAAGAAGAATATTTCGAATTACCATTGTTTAGCAGGTATGGAATGTTCCCTTTCTTGCCCCAGGCAAATAATGAAAGAATAAGCCTGAAGCGAGGTAACATTTTACCCCCGACTCTATACCATAATAGTTTTTGAAATTCTTTCATATTAAAATTTTTGATTCCTTAGAGAATACAGGARCAATAGTCATAAAAAGAACCAAAGCAGTGTGAAAAGGATTATGGTCTAGAGTCGGAGGTAAAACGTCTTCTCGCTTCAAGCTTATTGAGGTGGTGGCATCCGTTTAAAAATATTAAAATATTAGATCAAGTCATAGCAATGCAATCATATGGTTTTTCTATCCTTTGTAGAAGGGAAAGAAATAACKCAAGCATTTTCCGGATTTTTTTCTTTCTTGAATAGATTATTAATAGAATGCGGCATTACAATTTACCACTTTTAAAAAAAACTTATTGTATGATAAACTTACGGTTAACATTAAGTTCAACTGCAGCATTGTCCAAAGCACCTTGGCACACATATCTCCCACCATCCTTTGCAGTCACGTTATGTATCACCAATACTTGATATATCCYATGATCCTCCACCTGCATTTTCGTGCCATGTGTTTCAGGTAGRATCTTTCGGCTGTACGAATCAAACCAACCTTCAAATGGCTGTTTGTCAATCCTACAGACGAACCTAATGGGTTTATTAGGGTTACACATGGTCTTGCTTGATGGATAAATCTGTACTCCTGGGACTTTGATTATAGGAAAGAAGAAGGAACACAAAATTAAGTAGACTKCCAGCAGTCCCACTTTTCCCTCTAGACTCAKTAAAGACGAGTGTTYCAGGATTGCTGTGGATGCGCGCGGAGATTGGAGCCGAATAAACCMCTTACTCGGGCTGCTCACTCGGCTCTAATCTCCTCGAGTCCACAGGAATCCTAAAACAYTCATCTTTAATGAGTCTGGTGGTAAAAGTGGGACTGCTCACAGTCTAAAAATTAAGAAGAATATACTGAATATAACACTGTTATTTCATATCATAGATGGTTCATCCCATCAGAATGCGAAAAAATAGCTTATTTTAGTGTTGGTAGGCTTATCATTCTGCTCGCCATATCATTGAAATTCACATCCTATGGATTATTCAAAAACCGTACTATTGTCCCTTGTACACGTAATTGACACACAAGGAATTATTTCGTAGATCTCTGATCGACGCCCAGTGATTGATGCCAATCACTGAGGAGCCGTCGGTAGCACCAATAAGTAAGGCAATATTCACTATTAAATACCTTTCATACTTACTAAATTCGGGGCTTATTAAATTGGGATCGGTGCATCTAAGAGTACAGGAATCTGAACAGCATTTTTGGTTTCCATAGCAATGGTTATCGTGAGAACATTTCTTGATGGAAGATGGACACTTKTCAGGAGGGAGAAGAATAGGACAGTAGCCTGGCTTGGCGTCATCTTGATTTAATAGAAAAAACAAAAGTTATTGAAGGTCAATCACGAACTTTTACTCTACGTCATGGGCTGTTTTAAAATAGGAATCCAAGAATGGACTGGCGGGAAACGCAATAGCCTCAGACCGTAGTTTTTCTTTTTGTTTTTTTGGCCCCTCCACGCATCCATCATGGGGAAAAAGATGTCGCGTCGTGTGCGTATTGAATAGATCTTTGTTTTTACCTTTATTTTTTCCATTAATTTGGATGCATGTCTTTCTACATCCGTCTGAACAACAACTAGACGATCTCGCGCATTCTTCATCTGTTACACATTCATCTTTTGCTTGAAACAAGCAGCTCGTCCTTTTTGGCATTGGACATTTTCCTTTGTGTACGTGAGAATGGAAAAAAGRAAAARAGAAGAAAAGAAAAGCTCTTGATGAAATTAAAGCTAATAAAATTAGCTTTTATAAATAGGAAGACTAGCCGTTCTGAAACGTCCGTTTCCCACTGGCAATAACTAGTCTGAAGCCTTGATTGATGCATGGTATATAAATGCATTGATAAAATAATCCTCTTTATAAATGATGAAATTCGTCTCTTGCCTTGAACCAGTTGGTTTACCACTCGGACAATACCGCACCGTAGTTTTAACGCCTATCTATAATTGGCTCCGTTTGAAAGCCGTTTGAGTAACCAACTGAACGKGTACCACAAGTTTTCCATCTAAACTAGCCTGCGTCGCATCTGGACTTTTTCAGGAAAAAAATCAGACGTAGGCTAACCTACACACTTTTTTACTTCTGGCAAGCTATTAGCTATAGCATTGAAGCGTCATACCTCCTATAACTTCAAGARTAGCTTCGACATCGACCCTATGAGCAACCATTGAAGTAAATATTCCATTGTCTTTCGYATACAGATTAGTTGCAGATACAGAATATTTCCCCTTGTCAGACATCTTGACATCCTTTATAATGAGCGTTCCTCCAAGGGTTACGGAATATCGGCCATCGTTAACATCTAGAGGTTCGTATGCCTTCATCCATTCGTATTTCTGCGGTCGTGGAAAACCTTGAATTGGGACTTTAATCATCCCAGTTGCCCCAGAGCGAAGGAATACTTTGATTTCTGACTCTCTAACAGCCACTGAAGAGAATATAAACAAGTCAGTGATAAGGGTAGTGAGCAGAGAGATATGAGCCTAATATAGTGTATACTGTAGTAGTGATATCTCAAACACAAAGAAAATGGCGAAGTTTACTTCAACGATAACTTCGCTTACCTATATATACCTATACTGGAGGTCTAAGTTAGGGGTYAGTTAAATGGAAATGGAATTACTCATGTTTTGGGGGTTTTGTGGAGGGAATCGAGAGCTACAAGGCATTRTTGTCGTAACTGGGGTAAGATTGGGATTTATGGGAAGCACGGGAGGCGTAGCAGTGAGAGCGCTCGCCTCTTACCAATGCGACCCGGGTTCGMGTCCCGCCGGACTCGGTGTTGTATATGAGTACAGTTTCTAGTTGGTTCTGCCCTGAGTTTCCAGGGCTTTTCCTCGGGGTTCTTCAGTTTTCCTCCCTCTGCAAAAATCAACTTCTTAAAAAATGCAAAAATCAAATTCGATCTAGAAAGGGCCTGGACGAAAATTGTGTGGTTTTTATTGGAGTAGAGTTTACGTAATTATGCATTGTAAATAGAAATGTACATCTACATAAAGATCGACAGTGGCAGATCCAAGAATTTCAGAAATGGGGTGACTATTGCAAAGATATAAGCAGGAATGCGAGGAAAAGAGGGGTAGGCTTATAAGGATAATACAACAGATAAATCGGATTTAAAGCGGGGTGGCTAGCCCCCTTCAACACGCCTAGACCCACCCCTGACATAGGTCACACTCAATGAGTCGAGATATTGCATGAACTATAAGAATTACAAGCAATATTACTCAACCTTTGTGTACTTACATGGAATAGTCAATGAATAGTGCAAGAATTTCAGAAACGGGGTGACTATTACAAAGATTTRACCAGGAATGCKAGAAAAAGGGGGGTAGGCTTACTAAGGACTACAGAGAAATTTGAGCTAAATCGGGTTGGCTATCTCCCTTCAACACGCCTAGACCCGCCCCTGACATAGTTCACACACATACAAAAACGATCCTGACATCGGTTACAAAGAAAGAAAAAAAAAGAAATAGAACAAGGAGTCTTACACAAGGATATTACTCAACCTTTGTGTACTTACATGGAATAGTCAATGAATAGGTATCATTAGCAAAAGCACCCCGGCAAGTGTATTTCCCACCATGCTCTTCTCCAACTTTGTCAATAACAAGAGTGTAGTCATTTCCATGCCCATAGACGTACGTGTCACTGTTGTCTTTAGTACTTGTTATCTTCAGGCCCTTGGGATCATACCACCCTTCAAAAGGCTCGCCTCTTACGTAACAAACARCTTTGACACTGCTTCCAACAACTGCATCATCGGTCTTCGGATAGATTGTAACACCATCTTTGTTTAAAAGAAATAGAACTAATACCATATCGAGAAAAAGGGTCACAGGGAATTCTGGCTAGCGATGCGAGTTGTACTTTTATGACAATTTTTGGTTTAGGTGGACCGACCAAGGATAGAGGCTTTGCACCATCACGTGTGATGGCAGCCATGACAGGAGGCAGGAACAATTAAGTCTGGTSTAATCTGATTTGCATGAGAAAGAATTCAGTTTCTATTGCGGAAGAGCCTCTATTGTTGTGCCTCCTGTCATGGCTGCAATCAGGTGATGGTGCAAAGTGTCGAAAATCGAGTGTCGAAATCTGGAGCCAGTCGCGAACTTGTATGCGAACACCGTCCTATAGACGTCCTATGCTACCTCGGTAGAGTAAACGCAAAAACAAAACAATATCAAGCTTTGACTTTGCTAGCAGCAATGCCAGTTTGGGGAATCAGCATCATTGCCCCACTGAAGATGCCTAGGGTTTGGTTAATGGATGTGCGTTTTTCATCTTTAATGAAAACAAGACTTACAGAGGTGCGCAAACATTTGTAGTTAATGAAGATCTTTTACTCCCATCACGAAATGAATATTATACTATCATGTTGTGACACTGACAAACGTTTACCTTTTACTGGTGGAGAGGTCTTCATTTCAGTAAATATTGGCTGCGTGACGACTACTTTTGGCTCAGTATTACGACGTCCTAAATATTAATATAAATTTAAGTTGTTAATTAAAATTTGTAAACTTTCAGAGTGAAAACTTTTCTTGGCAACTCGTTTATCACCAAATCAAAAGTAAAATAATATTGCTCAAATGTTCTACCATTTCATTGTGTGGGCTGGTGGAAGTTTTTAGTGTTGGTATTGTTGTAGCATATGGTTACCGTTACTGAGACGTTGCCAGGTTTTTCTTAGTGGTTTTTGTTTGTTTGCATGAAGTCATTTTTGCTCATGTTTGATTTTGCACATAAACTTTTTCTGAGTTTTGTTCGCATTCTTCGTCTTCGTTGTTRCAATACTTTTAATTTATATTTGCTATTATAAGCACGTCTAGTATCTAGTGTTCCAACAGTCGTAGCTTTGTTGTTGTTGTAATCACCAGYAGACCTCCTCGGCTCTGATGTAATGTTTTCCATTTCAGACCACGTGTCATTCCCTAGAGTATCATTTCTTTGTTTAAGGTTTGCGCTCAGTTGCACATGAGAAGACACATGAATATGGATACAACTCAGACAAAGAATATTATTCTMAARGGAAKARCACGTGGTTTGAAATGRGACAACATTACGCTCGRGCGCTCCAGAGCCGAGGAGGTCTGTTAACGTACCAGTTCGCATAGTAGTAGTAGAGGTGGTGGTTGTAGTAGGGGGTAATGTCTTCAGTGTAGTTTTCTCTGTTGTGAAGGCATCATAAGGCGTGGTTTTTCTAGTCACTTTCGGGGTTTTTATTTCTGAAACAAAAAATAATGCCAATGTATCTATATAATGCATACCTTATGCGTAACACACACACACACACAAATAACAGATTGTTTCTGGGACGGAGAATTCTTAATTCTTAATAAAGGGGGATCATGATGTGACAACAAGCAAACAAATTAAAGCGCGCGGTAACAAATGAACATGCTTCACTTTTACTACTACATTTGCTTACCTGCTGTGAAGGGTCTTGGTGTGGTCTTTCGCATTGTGGTTAGTCTAAATGTCGTCACTAATGGATCTGTCGAGAAGTAGAACACATAGGCCTTTCTACTTACATAACAAAAATCAATTTTGTAAAAAAGATTTTTTTAAATGGTCAAACAGATACGCTGCATTTGCTCAGACATGTCACACGAGACTCGGGAATAAGCATTACGACATTGGCGAGTGCATTTTTCCTYAACGGCTTTTGAGCCTTTAAATTATATTCGTGCACGCGCGTATGTCTTTATGTTTCTCCTTAACTCGTAAAACTGAATCAATCTTTACCTGTTGTGGTAGGTCTTGACTTTGTTTTTGGATTTATGGTAACTGTAGACGTTGTCACTAATGGACCTGTAGAGAATGAAGCAGAATTTACAAAATATATGTGAAAATGGGCAGTTTTATCCACCGCATTTTCTAACCAGTGGTAGGCATTCTTGTTTTTGGTTTTGGCTTGATGGTCGGTTTAGATGTTGTCACTAGTGGACCTGTGAAATACATTGCGGTTTTAGCGATCTTCCCTTGAAAAGCTGCAATTCTCTTGTTGTTATCACATCGTAGTTCGTTTACAGAAATATTTTTGAAAGATCTGTTTAGTGGTTAGGCACAACATCATGATGCA